CCGCGAGGAGCTCGACGGGCTCAAGCGGTCCGACAGCCGACGATCGTCCATACTGCAAGCGAACTGTGCGAGGAGTGTTTCGGGCTCGGATAGTGCATCGGTTCTGGGACAGCCTCAGTCATCAGTGGCTAGCAGACATAATTCTATACTGGGCACCAACACCGTCGCTCGTCTAGGCGGCTACTCGCCTGGAGGCTTCATCATGAGCCCGCATTCCTCCATAACTGGAGCACCGCTGCAGCGTCTGCGGTCCAACAGCAAAGCAAGCTCCTTCAACGTGCCGTCGCCCATCGCCGGACGTGTAAGCATTGACAATGGAGGAGGCGAGGAGAATCTGTTCATGGCTCGTCATGGTCCTGGCAAGGGTTCAGTGCGTAGTGTGGCCTCGCTAGGACTGATTGCCGAGTTGGATCTACCCTCGGGCTTGACCAAGGAAGCCTTTGACGAGGCAGACCGGGCTGCTGCCATTGGAGACGAGGCCGAGGACGACGACACCATTCGGGCCAGCGCACATCAGCAGATCGACCCAGAGTTTGCAGACATCTTGGAAGATGCGAGCTCACCTCAAAGCGAAATGACGGTGCCGGCCTTGGACAATAGTCTCATGGACCTCCCGTCTCCGCGGTTGCAGATTCACCAGCCCAACGACTACCCGCAATATGGCGAGACTCTTTCCGTGCAGGACTATGACAGGCCCACGACTTCAGGCTCCAACATGACCTTTGAGGCGCAAAGAGCATTTGGAGATTTCGACGGTGTTCATTGTGATCCAGAGTTTGGCGAATTTCCGCCTCCTCAAGCGCAACAGTTCCAGGAACCAGCCCTGCCCTCACCGCGGCGTCTGGACCAGCCACCGCCTAGGCCCAAATCTTATTTTGATCCCTCAACAGGACAGCAGATGTTGTATTATCCTGCACCCGTCCCGGCCATGCTAAACCTGCCACCCAAGCTTTCCAAGAAGCCCAAGGGCGCCGCGGTCGCTCGAAACATACGCCGGTCTGAGATCCTCAGCGCCATGCCGCAAGCCACGCCCCAGCAGCCAGTTCGGGAATCCCGTGTCTGGCTCCCAGATCCAATGCAAGGTTTGAACGACAGCCGGGATAATGAGCCCTTCATGCCGGGCTTATTGGGCGATAACCTGCGCTCTGCGTCTTTCAGGGCTGACCCAGCGCCACAGCTGCCAGACTCCGGTGTGGCGAATCATCACCTAGGAGAATCATCGCATACGAGACACGCCTCTGAGACCAGCACAATCCATGCCCCACTCCCATCACCGCAACATCAACAGGTACCGCCAGAGCTGCAGCCACAACCAACACAGCAACAGCGGGAGATCCGACGCCCGCAGAAACTCTCGGGCGCCGACAGACGCCAGACCCGCGCAACCATGCTCGGCGACCTTCCTCCCCAGCTGCGTGCAAGTGCCTTTTTCGACTTGCCTCCCGTATTGCCCAAGGTGGAGGTCAAGGGAGGCTCCGCTATGGACACGCTCGACAGCATATTAGATGCCTCGGCCCATGCACCCGTCAGTGCATTTACCGACCACGCCTTTGCTGGGAAACTAGGTTCAGAGGTTTACGGTGCGGAAAAGAAGAAGAAAAAGAAGAAGGCTAAAGCGGCAGCTGCCGACGGCCAAGACTCGGCCGAGAATAGAAAGACAATCATTCCCAAGACCTCCACCGGTGACCTTGTCGACGAACCAAGGAAGCCAAACAAACTGAGGAAACGCGCCAGTCAGCTATCCCTGCTCGGAATGAACCCCGACCACAACGACGATGCCGATGCACGGACGACAGTTGCGCTCGTGAGCGGCGAGGAAGGAGCCAGACGCACTTCGAACCTCGGCGATACTTCCTCCAACCATAACGACGACGAGCCCTTCTCTCCCAACCAGCTCGCACCTGATTCCGACGAGGAGACCTCCGAGGAAGAGGAGACGAGCAGTGAAGAAGAGGATGTCTACCAAGGCCCGCCAACGACGCTCCTTGCCGAGCTCCAGCTCCGAAAGCAGCAAAATGCCATGCGCACAAAGCCCAAGTTCACGACCAACGGTCTGCACACTACCCTTCTCGAACTCGATACCGTCGCCGAGGTGGAGCGCAAAGCGAGAAAGGGCAAGAGGATCAATCTCGCTTGGGAAAACCCGGGGGCTAATCCGGATCATCTTGATGATTTGGATGATGACGAGGTTCCGCTTGGCATGCTGTATGTCGCCAAGGCAGCGGGGAATACACCATCTACCATGGATATTAGTGCTGTCATGAATGAGGTTAACCGTCCACTTGGGTTGATGGAGCGCAGGGAGTTGGAGGATAACGAGCCGCTCAGTCAGAGGAGGAGTAGATTACAGGGTAGAGATGGTGGACTTGCGCCCATGTCCTTGGCCATGATGCAGAGAAGGATGACTGCGCTTACTTTGGGGCCTGGCGGGCCTGCTGGTGGAGCGGCAGGGTTGAGGTCTATGAGTAGGCTGAACTTGGGTTCCAACCTGAATCTGCCTTTTCAGGGAGGTAATTCGGTCATGGGTGGTTCTAGGCCCGGTTCGGCGGCTGGAGATGCCGAGGATGCCGAGTTTGAAGGGGAAACGCTCGCTCAGAGGAAGGCGAGACTTGCTGCCGAGAATCCTTTGCCGAGGGCTAGGCCTGTTAGTGGCATGTTTTCGTCTGAATTGCTGACTCAGTTTGGTGGTGAGGAAGAGACCAAGGACGAAGCCAAGGACAAGAAGAATACCGACCAAGTCCCTGAGGAGGAAGAGACGCTGGGCCAGAGAAGGAAGAGGTTGCAGGCTGAGCGGGAGGCAAGGGAGAGGGAAATGAATGCCGGTGGTGGTGGTATGCTCGGTGTTGGCTCGATGAATCCGAATCGGAACACGATGCTCTCTGTTGCGCCGAGTGCCAGCGGCTTGGAGGTGCCCGTGAACAGGTTGTCGCATCGGTTGTCCACGAGCGATCTCTTGAATGCGCATTCGTTCGATCCTACACCCCAGGGCATGCTTGATCCGAGGACGCAGGAACGGCTGAGACGAGATATCGAGGCGGAACGTGTGGCTCGGGAGAATGAAGCCAAGATGGCGGCGATGAGGGCGCAGATGCCCACCAACTTAGAGACAGTTTCTCATGGCGCAAGGACGGGCGGGTACATGGGTGGTCGGTTTAATGATGGCACTGGAGGAATCCCGGGACAACATCAGCAGCAGAGATTGCCTTCAATGGCTGGTGCTGGGTATCCTCTGCCTGATCAACAATACCCCAGGGCGAATACCATGGCGACTTATTCTGGCATGGGATATCCAGCCCCGGTGGGCAATGTCAATCCGGTGTATGGTGCCGCTCCGTATGGAAGTGCCATGCAGCTGCCGATGCAAACCCAGGCGCAGTACCCCATCATGGGAGGAGGGATTGTCCCCGGTGGAATGCAGCAGGGTCAGCCGGTTGATATGGTTGAGCGGTGGAGACAGAGCATCATGCCTTGATTTAGACATTATTTTTGCATTTCTTGGTCATTTTCGGAGACTGGTATAGATACATAAAGGTTACGAGGTTCAGAGGTTCAGAAGTTCAGAAGTTTTTGGCATTCCATGTTGTATATTTTGTTTTATATATGCATACTCATTCACAGCGTTGGTGTTTCTTGCCTTGGTTTGTTAGTTAGGACGTAGCTCATCCAGTTTCGTTTCACTCAGCTTCCAAGCACTTGGGCGGCCTCTTTGACGTTGGAAGTCTGCCTCACTGGAGGAATAGATAGAGCTATAAAGCAAGATAGCGACACACACAGCTAGACAGCAAGCGGAAGATGCATAACTCGTTGCTTTCTTTATACCAGCTTTGTAGCATGTATGTATATAAACAGATGTGTCATTTCACTTCTCTTGCCCTGACGAAAAATATTTCATGGTCTAAAAAGAAACATGTGAGATTGTCATTAGAAGTTGTCCCTTGGTAAGTCCAGGTAATGGCAGCAGCAGGTATTCATAGGTCGATGAGGACAACTCATGCTCTTTTGTCATTTGCCGAGGGCCATGGATGTATCTAGATGAACTGGGTCTGTTGGGTGGGAGATAAAAAAAAAAATCCAGAGGAAGCAAAAGGACAAAACATACAACACCAGGGATTCCCCAGTGGTCACCCACCTGAGTACTAATCTGGCAGTCGCTGGCTTATCTATGGGAGAGCAGACGGGATCCCGAGTTTTCCAGCGCTTATGGTCGTATGTGCTTGTCCGGTGTGGATTGAAAGCTTATGATGTTCGTGATGTTGCCTGAGTTGTGTTTTGTGGGTGAACTTGCCTTGTTACCGTGAGCCAGTCAACCACGCAGCCGCAGAAACAGGGGACGGGGACGAGGACGAGTAACTAGTCGATGATATGTTGAGCATATCGACATCTTTATATGTTTATATGTTGGACTCGTCAGTTTTTAAATCATGGGGAGTGGTGAGTGGCTGGCAGCGATGAAAATTCGGATCTCAAGTTCTCAATTGGCTGGCGGCTTTTGCCAAGGAATAACATCAGCGAGCCCCTGAGTCCAGCTGGGCACATGTAAACAATGCATCCCGTCCGGGTATTTGTGTACATGTACCTGGGAGCCTTACAGCCGGGCATCATAACGTTACGGATGTTGAATATACATAAAACCCCGAAAGATTGCTCATCATCGACCCGTCCTGGAGGTCAAGATCAATGCAAGTTTTAGAAGAATACGAAACAAGCGTCATGCCTTGCCCAGACACAGCCTTTTCTTCTCATTCCACCTGATCTGACCTCCCCACTGACGGGAAAGTCTTTTTCACGTGAAAAGATAACGAATCTTTTTCTTTTGATACATGTAGACCAGAGTTTCCCGTCGGGCCGGTGATATCCCACAACGAAGCCGCCGCCAAAAGACGCCACGACAAGAGTCCATGCCATGTGGGTTTACCCACCAGCAAGCACCAAGTTCAGCACTGTTGCTCCGAAAAAGAAATCTCGTTTTCCATGACCACAGACATCAAAAGAAAACCTAATCCTCTGTGGCGCAATTGGCTAGCGCGTCTGACTGTTACTTCTACCCTTGCCTACCTACCTTCCGGATAGGTAGTGAGTGTGATGAGAGCAATCAGGAGGTCGGAAGTCCGAGCCTCCCCGGAGGAGGCAGAAGCAGACCCAGGTGCCGCATTACTGGAAAACGCAAGTTAGGGTAGTGGCAGAAGAACATCTATCCTCACCTGGGCTTTCCAGTAATGCAGTACCTAAATCTGCTTCTTATTAATCGGTTGTGATGCGTTATGTATTCGTATGTTCCTTGCCCTGCCATTCTAGGTGATGAAGGTCATGAAGCTCTCTGCGGAATGGTAGGGTCAGGAATGTACAAGTGGGTGATGCATCAAAACCATCTTTTTACGTCTCTCGTGAAAGAACGCATCTTTTTCCCTCTCTTGTGAAAGAACGAGACGGCTGAAGAATGGGGATCAGAGCACGAACACAGGCGTAGTGCATTCGTACATCACGCATGGTATGTATGGATGATGGTAATCACATACCACAAATATCGTACTTTCTCCAGACTCGAGCATGGGCGGGAGAGAGCCATCATCCATAAAGAACAGAGCTTCACTTCCTCTCCTATACGAGAGCCGTCCTTGAATATTAACTACATAGAGTAAACTTCAGGGAAAGTAAACAAACCGGAGCACATCACGTAGGGACCTGAGAAAGGAAACTGAAGTACAAAGACCAAAAAAGAAAGAAGAACAAAGAAAAAAGCAGCCCAACTAGACATTCTTTATCGAAGCAAACATATTATGTTTTGTTCCTCTTATCCATTTAACTCCTCCGGGAAGGCTCGAACTTCCAACCTCCTGATTTGCTTTTCCTCTCTGAGAGGAGGATTAACAGTCAGACGCGCTAGCCAATTGCGCCACAGAGGATGAGGTACCTAGATACTTGGTTGATGTCCAGGGTTTGGAAACAGACCTTCAACCTCGAGGCTTCCAATTTTCGAACCTGGAGTGTTGCCGCACAGATAAGGTTATGAACATAGCCACCCAGCCTCATGTACGTGGATCTCCTGGCCTTGTTGTGTATCGACGTCAGCAGCAGATTGCCGAGCTTTGATTATGGTTGGAAAGAAGGGGATGAGATCTCACACCCATGCCATTGAAAGAGGCGCCTAATATACAGGCACTACTACTATCATATACAGGCACCAGTCCAATTTGACTTTCCAGACTAGAGGTATTTATTCGAGCCAGTCAAGGCATTTATTCGAGCCAGTCAAGGCATTTATTCAAGCCAATCAAGGCATTTATTCTAGTCTAGACTATTTAGTTAAGGCCTCTATTCTAACCAGTCAAGGCATTTATTCCAGCTAGTTAAGGTATTTATTCTAGCTAGTTAAGGTCTCTATTCTAGTCCAGTCAAGGTATTTATTCCAATAAGAGTAGTGCCTGTATAATTATAAGAAGACTGGTGTCTGTATATGAGAGGACTGGTGCCTGTATATTAGGGGCCTTGAAAGATACAATGTGCCCTGATAGGAACTCGTACACGCTTTTTGAATCTAGCTTCATAGGCCTTAAACGCTCCTCTTTTATTTGCATTTTGGATCTCGCTGACGCATTCAAGAGATGATTCTATGCGTGTAGGAACAACATGAAAGATGTTTACAAAGTATACGCACAAAACTTTCCACCCAGTCGACAATGCATTACTCGAGACCAACAAGCCATCGTCGAGACAGATCCATCTACTTCCGCTTCTTGGCCGGTGGGCCAGAGTCCTCATTATCGCTCTCCTCATCGCCCGACTCCTCCACATCGTCATAATTTACCTCGTCATCATCCATCTCCTCCTCTTCCATCTCATCTTCGTCCACAAAATCTCCATCATCTTCCGAGTCCTCGTCTGAGTCCTCGCCAACTCCGTTAACCGCGGGAATGACATCGTCGTCGTCAGGGTAAGCACGCGACTTTCCCATGATAGCCCGGATACCGTGTTCCTCCTCGACGAAAACAACACCAGGCTCGTCGACATTATCGTCCTCGGACTCGTCTGACTCGTCCCCGTCTGGGCCACGCCGGATTTTTCCCTTGGAATTTTGAGCTTTGATGGCCTTTCGGAACCGTATCTGTGAATCCAGCATATCGAGCTTGCCCTTGAGTGCCAACAGTGCCGGGAGGCCCCTCGAGCGCTCTTCCAAAACCCGGTTGAGCTCTTCTAATTTCTTGACCGTCTCGGGCTGCCCTACAAGAGCCCCTCCGTGTGCTATTATCGTCCACTGGATCCAGTTCATGAGGCTGTAGGCACGACCGGGGCGCCGGTGCATGCGCGCGGCGAGCTTGGAAAGTAGGATGCCGGCGAGGGCGGAGTCCATGCGGTTGATGGTATTTTGTATCATTTCGACATTGTTGAGTTGGAGGACTGACTCGAGAAGCTCGTTGTCGTCTGTCTTGAGGGCTTGTTCAAGTGTGATGCCCATCGAAATGGCACTCACGGGTGCTACCTCTCCATTCTTACCACCTGAACCAGCTTTTGTGGAACCCTTGGCAGCGAGAGAGGCCGTGACGTCGACGGTAGAGTTGCCATGCATCAGTTCTCCGAAGCTGGGCGCTTCGTCTGCATCTTCTCCTTCGGCCTGTTCCATTTCAACATCGCCATCCTCCGTTGTTTTTATTTTGGAGACCTCGGGTGTTGTTTCCTCGGGCTGTGCAGGCTTTACTGTGCTTTGGTCTTTGCTCTGGTCGTCGTCGTCCTCCTCCTCCTCCACGTCGGGATTGGGATCCGAATCGCCAGAGTCGTCGGCGATCGACTCTGGATTTTGCGACAGTCCTATCGCGACCGACGCTCTCGTCTCGTCAATTCTGGTCTTGGTTGGGATCTTGGCGCTCTGCTTGACCACGGGCGCTGCGATTGTCGACGGTTTCCGCTTGGTGGACATGACTGCTATCTGATAGTGGCGTGGCTGTCGCGTGCGCGTGCGCACTTGTGAGATAAGTGGTTAAGGTGGGAGGACGTCAGCGGACTCGGGATACTAGCACGAGATCGTTTAGATCTGTAGCCAATTGGTCCAGCTTGCAGAAGATACTCCGGCTTGTAAGATAATGGCAAAATATTATGGGCGGATTATGGTGATGCTGTGCTGGATGAAAACTTGGGAAAAATTTCTGGGATGCATTGAAAAGGATGGCTGCCAAACTTTTTTTTTGGTCGTCCCCAGGCCTGTCCCCACTGGCGCCTTCCACGATAAGATCCGATAAGGAATTTAGGATCAATGCATTTTCTTATCTTATCACATCTTGTCTGATCATGTGATGCGTACTTGATGACTCATTATCCGCATCAGTTATTGCCTCAGGCACGCAGAGCTGTTGGGACTTGTTTGGTTGGCATTTCCTGCTCAACAACCCGTATGTGTTGCCTGCTGGTCGCTTTTCCTAGGCAGAAGCCTGCGACTACCTGAAATGATACTGTGATCGTGGATTCGTGAAGCACCTTCCAGTCATCTTTCAGAAAAATATGAGATCTTCGATGAATCCACGACGGAGGTGAGGTACCCTTTATCTCCTTTTCTCACGTTCGCCATTTTACTAGGGGCGGGCCACTTTTCCCTGCCTAGAAAGTGGACCAAGCCGCACGACTGATTGGACAGCAGCGGCGCACCTAAGCTTGATCTGAGCAAGTTGCTCCCTGAGAAGTTGAACAATCCCGGGCATCTCTTGAAAGGGCCCAGAATAAGAAAAGCAGCATTTGCAATCTCTCATTTTGCTCCATTTGTTCAATAAACGGATATACACTCGGGTTCCAAATCTGTATATGCTTCACTGTGCGTTGTGCACTTGTCTCTGCCTCCCAGATCAGTGCAAACTGCAAAGAGCCCGGTTACGCCAAATTTACGCCACGACGCGACACGGATGCAGGCGTGAGAGTGGGCGCAAAACTGAGGTGTGATGTTCGCATCAGATGTGTGCGGTGACCCGCAGCACGGCGTCCTCTCACGATGCTTGATTGTCAACAAATATGGCCTTGATGAATGACTTTGATGGCTTGCAGGACTCCTTTTGCAATGCCTGTGTTGGTTGTCCATCGTCCCTCAGCTGTATTCTCTCACCGTTGATCTTGGACGGTCAAGATGAGAGTAAAATTAATTAAAACCCTATCGGTCAGTAGTCGCGTCATATTCGCGTATCCCTGAAGTCTATTGCTTGCAAGTTGCGACAGAGGAGTGCAGCAACCCGTTTCCGGGGGGTGTGTACTGCCGTCTCACTCGCGATTCCAGGGAGTCAGTCACCCCTGGCATATTGGGAATCTTCTCTTGTTGTCTCTTCCCCAAAAACGAGAAGCTTAAGAGACCAAAGGAGAATACTTTCTCGTCACCTCTCTGTCGAACTTTATAAAAACTCAAGATCCTGAAGGTTCCGTCAACCGATTCGAACCGAAAAGCATCGACGGGTCATCTGTGAGCAACAAGCTTTTTCAGGTACAGTTGGCCCTCTTTTCTTTGTTTGGACTCGCACCCACACACAAGCCCTGTCACGACGCAAAACCTGCGTTGCATCCGGCGAGCTCTTATTTTTTTTTGTTCGCTCCAGTCGCTCAGGTGTACGGGTTTTCATCTTCGGTTGGCGATGACGACGTGCACGTAATCATGGTGTTTCGGCGGAGATAAGTGATGATTGCCGAATCGCTTTTGGCGCCATGGAATTTTCGTGACAGTTTGTTGCTCAGCAGTGTACGTTGTGGTTGAGTTTGGGAGTTTGATGCTGTAAATTGGGGGAAATGACGATGGAGAGAAAAATCAAAGTGGGTGCGGTACAGACCAGAAGCCTTTGTGCCCCTCGTGTCGATCCCGCGCACGGCCCACTCTTTCTCGCTGTGGCCAACCAGAGGTCTTGAAGCGGGCTCGATAAGGACAGTCAGCCAGTCAGAGGCGGAGCCACCCTCTGGGCCAGGAGCGAGCGACACCTCTGATAAATAGCCCCGGGCTGCCGACCGTGACTGACATGTGTTTTTTTCAATTCAGACTTTTTGGAAAAAGGAAGCGACGCGGTAACCAAGACGGCTCGCCCCCACCACCCACCAACCAGAACTCAAAGAATTGTGGACCCGACGCGACAAGCACAAGAAGCATCGACCTCAATTTTTGTTTCTCTCCCTCTTTTTTCCTCCTTTTTTCCTGTCAGATCTTTTTTTTTCTGCCAAGTCACCGCCCGGGCCATCACCACCCACTGCCCAGCCACCCAATTTTTAAAGCCCCAACCCTTTTAGTTTTTCCGATCCCGATAACGCGACCATTTGCGTTTGGCGAGGCTGGCTGTCGCCAACCCGACTTTTTATAATTCTCAGCCTTCCTCCCTCTCGAGCGCATTCGCAAAATCGTGAGTGGTCATTTTTTCTCGACCCTTTTGTTTCCCCAAGACCCACTTTTCCTTTTGATCGCAACTCCGCACCCACCGCTGCGCACGTCCCCTCGCTGTCGCATTGCGCATTCTGGAGACTTTCAAGAACGCGCCAATTGCCTCCTCCTTCCGCAACTCCTTTAAAAGCATTAAGCTTTGTTGCGGTCGCGTCACCCGTTCCGAACATCACTCGCGGCATCTCCTGTCAAATCTTCTGCTCCCGGTGCAAGCTTGCGCTTCCGATCGTCTGCGTTTCACTTTGCGCGTGTGGATGGTCGACACTCGATACATTTTTGAAGCTCTAAACAGCGCGCTGACACGAATCTACCAGCGAATTGATGTCGCTTGCCACGATCTGATTATCGCAAAACTACCCCACCCGAATGGCAGTCATGACGACGCAACACGCAGAGCCCGGGGTTCTCGATGAGAAGCCCACAAAGATGGATGCGACTCACGGTGTCAATGGAAACGTGGGAGTCAATGGGTAAGTCTGAATCGCGCACCTTTTCCACTGTCGTTTTCCCACCCCG